CCTCTGGGCCTGGCAGCTCCGGCCGCAGCTCCTCAAAGCCCCCCTGGAGCTCTGCGATGGCACCGGGGACATCGGTGGGGCCTCCCGGACCGTCCCCACCACCCCATCCCAGCTGGTCCTCTTGGAGGTGACACGCCCAGGAACACCCCAGGACATTTGGTTGCCTCTCCATCCCACATGCTCCTCTAGAGGTGACACCTCTGGGGACACTCCGGGGCACTTGGTTCCACCCCACATGCCCCTCTTGGAGGTGACAACCCAGGGACACCCCAGGACACTTGGTCGCTCTCCATCCCACATGCTCCTCTAGAGATGACACCCCAGGGACACCCCAGGGAACTCAGTCCCTCCCCATCCCACAGGCTCCTCTTGGAGGTGACAACCCAGGGACACCCCAGGACACTTGGTCGCTCTCCATCCCACATGCTCCTCTAGAGGTGACACCTCTGGGGACACCCCAGGGCACTTGGTCCATCTCCACCCCACATGCTCCTCTTGGAGGTGACAACCCAGGGACACCCCAGGGAACTCGGTTGCTCTCCATCCCACATGCTCCTGTAGAGGTGACACGCCAGGGAACACAGTCCCTCCCCATCCCACATGCTCCTCTAGAGGTGACACCCCAGGACACTTGGTCTCTCTCCATCTCACATGCTCCTCTTGGAGGTGCCACCTCTGGGGACACCATGAAGTGCTTGGTCCATCCCCATCCCACATACTCCTCTTGGAGGTGACACCCCCAGGCACACCCTGGAGAACTTGGTCCCTCTCCACCCCATATTCTCCTCTAGAGCCAACACCCCCAGGAACACCCCAGGATACTCAGTCACTCCCCATCCCACATGCTCCTCTTGGAGATGACACTTCCAGGGACATCCGGGGGCGCTCAGTGGCCGCCGGGGGAACACGCACGAGCCGGGTCCCCCGTACCCTGCGTGCTCTCGCTGGCGCCCTCGCTGTAGACCACGTTGGGCCACTCGGAGCGGAGGCGCTTGATGAGGCCGAAGGCCAGCAAGGGGTTGTCCAGCGAGGCGGGCGGTTCCCGGTGCAGCGCCCGCACCCTGTCGTAGAACCTGCGAGGGGCACGCGGAGAGACCCCAAAACCCTGCAGATCTGGCCCCAGAACGGGCGGCGGGACCCACGCGTCCCCCCACGCGCG